AGACTACAGTCCCCACAGTGTATCTGTGTGGGAGGTAAGGAATGAAGACTACAGTCCCCTCAGTGTATCTGTGGGAGGTGAGGAATGGAGATTACAGTCCCCTCAGTGTATCTGTGGGAGGTGAGGAATGGAGACTACAGTCCCCACAGTGTATCTGTGGGAGGTGAGGAATGAAGACTGCAGTCCCCACAGTGTATCTGTGGGAGGTGAGGAATGGAGATTACAGTCCCCTCAGTGTATCTGTGGGAGGTGAGGAATGAAGACTGCAGTCCCCTCAGTGTATCTGTGTGGGAGGTGAGGAATGGAGACTGCAGTCTCCACAGTGTATCTGTGTGGGGGGTGAGGAATGGAGACTACAGTCCCCATAGTGTATCTGTGGGAGGTGAGGAATGGAGACTGCAGTCCCCACAGTGTATCTGTGGGAGGTGAGGAATGGAGACTGCAGTCTCCACAGTGTATCTGTGTGGGGGTGAGGAATGGAGACTACAGTCCCCATAGTGTATCTGTGGGAGGTGAGGAATGGAGACTACAGTCCCCATAGTGTATCTGTGGGAGGTGAGGAATGGAGATTACAGTCCCCTCAGTGTATCTGTGGGAGGTGAGGGATGGATACTACAGTCCCCACAGTGTATCTGTGGGAGGTGAGGAATGGAGATTACAGTCCCCTCAGTGTATCTGTGGGAGGTGAGGGATGGATACTACAGTCCCCACAGTGTATCTGTGGGAGGTGAGGGATGGATACTACAGTCCCCACAGTGTATCTGTGGGAGGCGAGGGATGGATACTACAGTCCCCTCAGTGTATCTGTGGGAGGTGAGGGATGGATACTACAGTCCCCTCAGTGTATCTGTGGGAGGTGAGGGATGGATACTACAGTCCCCACAGTGTATCTGTGGGAGGTGAGGGATGGATACTACAGTCCCCTCAGTGTATCTGTGGGAGGTGAGGGATGGATACTACAGTCCCCACAGTGTATCTGTGGGAGGTGAGGGATGGATACTACAGTCCCCACAGTGTATCTGTGGGAGGTGAGGGATGGATACTACAGTCCCCACAGTGTATCTGTGGGAGGTGAGGGATGGATACTACAGTACCCTCAGTGTATCTGTGTGGGAGGTGAGGAATGGAGACTACAGTCCCCTCAGTGTATCTGTAGGAGGTGAGGGATGGATACTACAGTCCCCACAGTGTATCTGTGGGAGGTGAGGAATGGAGATTACAGTCCCCTCAGTGTATCTGTGGGAGGTGACGAATGGAGACTACAGTCCGCATAGTGTATCTGTGGGAGGTGAGGAATGGAGACTACAGTCCCCATAGTGTGCATGTCAGGCGGGACCACAATACTTGAGCACATTCTGGAGGCCTGCCCACTATACCTGCATCTACGAAGAAAAACCTGGCCTCAGGAGCAAAGTGTGCATGCAGAGCAAGCTATGGAGAATCCATGAAGATCTTGCAGCGGACATACGAGTTCATAGAAGTAGCCCACCTGACTGTCTGACCTGAGCATACGAAGCCGAGCGCCAAGAAGACGAAGACCAAAGCCCAGATGTGGACGAAGAAGAAGAAGACCAAAGTTCAGATGTAAACGAACAATCAGAACTTTCCGCCGAAGCTCACAGCCAGTGACCTTAAAAAAGAGGACGAAAAATAATGACCAGATAGCTTCACAACCAGCCCGCGAGTTGAAGTACCTAACGATCCCTGCCTTATTGAGTGACATAGATCAGACAATAAAAAGAAGGCAATAAACAAAAAGACACAATAATTGTATGAACCTAATTGTGTGTAATAATTACGCCAATGCTGGGGGAAAAAAAAAACCCGGTGGGAATATGGCGGGAAAATGGCAGGTCATCAGCTGTATCTCATCCAAGCAGCAGACGACTTGTGTCTGTTGCCACTCCTCTCTGTACAAACACCAGCCTAACCTCGGCGATCCCACGATGAAGCCCCGCCATTGGAAACCTGGCAAAACATGGCCCCCAAGGTAATCTAATTTCTGGGTGTGAGTAGGAGAAGTTAGACCCGATTAGCTCACCCACGCACAGCTGGGAGGGGGCGGGACGGAGGTCAGACAAGCGTGTCTCGATTCTCCTGCCTATGTGCTGTAAAGTAATCGGGTAAAAAAAAAAATAACAGGGTAGAAACCTGAACACCGACCTGCCCCCACAAACCGCGTGGGACCATGGATACAATGTCATGCAAGTGGACTGGGAATGATGGGAAAAGGTTGGGTATTAAAAACCATGAAACGACATAAATCCTCCTCCTCATCGCCCTCCTCCTCCTTCTTCTTCTTCTCTTTCTTCTTCTTCGTCGTGGTTTTCTTCTGCGCCGCCTCCGTCGTCGTCGTTTGCACTTAAAAGGGCGGTTGTCATGTTGTGTTGTGGTTTACATCTAGACGGCGACATCTGCAGCTTTCGGCCGAACACGTCCGATTTTCGCACACCTTAATTACTCGACTTTTTCGACATGCTTGTTAGATGCTTGTGGCTCTGTTGTTTTTGTTTTAACCAAAATAGGGCACATAAACCCTGACTGGGGGTTATTGTTTTAACATTAACCTCAGACTGGAGTGTATGAATCAGCCAGTATGAGGCTTACTGTGTCCACCCTACTGTGACATGACCAAGACTAAGTTACAGACAATCACTGCATGTAAACACCAACCAAGCTGCACCAACCAACGCTTTCCCACGAGATCTGGCTTGCTACCAGCCAGTTCCTGGATGCCAATATCGACACTCCAAACACTAGGGCCCCTTACAATAATGGTTTAATGGAAGGGGCAGTCAAAAGAGGAGACTACAGCTCTGGCACTTCACATGCGGAGTTTATGCTTCAGAGTTTCAATACAAGAATGGCAGTATTGCACCAGTGCACTACAGTATCTCTCAGCTTTTTCTTGATTTAACATTGCTGGTGTGCATTTTACATTTCTTGTTAACCCACTTCTGGTCGATTTATATACCTTTGTAACCCACTCCTGGTCGATTTATGTCTTTGTAACCCACTTCTGGTCGATTTATATATCTTTGTAACCCACTTCTGGTCGATTTATATATCTTTGTAACCCACTTCTGGTCGATTTATATATCTTTGTAACCCACTTCTGGTCCATTTATATATCTTTGTAACCCACTTCTGGTCCATTTATATATCTTTGTAACCCACTTCTGGTCCATTTATATATCTTTGTAACCCACTTCTGGTCGATTTATATGTCTTTGTAACCCACTTCTGGTCGATTTATATGTCTTTGTAACCCACTTCTGGTCGATTTATATATCTTTGTAACCCACTTCTGGTCGATTTATATGTCTTTGTAACCCACTTCTGGTCGATTTATATGTCTTTGTAACCCACATTTGGTCGATTTATATGTCTGTAACCCACTTTTGGTCGATTTGTATATCTTGGTAACCCAATTATGGTTGGTTTACATATCTTTGTAACCCACTTCTGGTCGTTTTACATATCTTCGCGGCACGTCATTTGAATATATAATATCTATAACGTTGAGATGATTGTATAGAGAAGAATATTTCATGATTCATGGAGACAAGAACTGTGAAATTCAGACGTCTATAGAAGACTAAATTAAAATGAAGTTTTAATGGAAATAGTGTAAATAAAATATTTAGGCCCCATTAAAAGACACGGTACTCCTAGAAAGATACAACGAGGGTAACAGATTGGAATAAGAGATAGACGGCAAAATAAGTGGGAAGACACAATTAAGAGATGGAGTACAGCTGACTGTCTAAACGTTCAATTCATTGCGATAGTATGAAGACGGCGCTTGATTGAATGTTTGAGGAGCAGGTTATATAGCCACTAACGTGCTGTGTGATGGAGATGTAAGACGTATGGTTTACCACGAATTTGAAAGTCATTTCAAGGTGGGTCCACAGTAAATAAACGCCAGTATAGATACGCGAACGAGTGGAGCAGATGTTCCTGCGCGGCAAGAAAGTTCAGTTAGTCTGAAGAGGGGGACGCCGAGAGAATGTGAAACATGCCGCCTCACGAGACATCGGCGAGTCGGTCTATCTCCTGTGTGGTGGCTGAGCGAATATCCGATGGGGGAGGAAGGTCTGGTAAATAGCGTGCACACTTGCACAGATTAATGGTGTTGTTTGCCACTTAACGTTTGGTGTTGTACGTACGCATGGCTGTGTCATACGTGATTCTTTAGAAGTACTCATGTGCAAGATGTGTGTTCAGTAATTTATGATTGACAGTGTCCTGTGTTCGAGTGAAACACAAGGGATTACTAATTTCGTAGCTTTATATTAATTTATATTAATTAATTTACTTGTATGATTGGCTGTGTCTGCCCAGCGGGTAACGTATTAATCTTCTTTTTTTTCCGCGTTCACCTACTGTCAACTCGACGAAAAGTTTGTGCTGTTCGTCCACCTCTGACTTAAGTCTTGTTCCAGAATGTGAATGTTACTTGCACATCCGTTTTACAGATCTGGCTTATTTGTGTTCAGACTGTTGGTTCCTTACCTCTCAGTCAGATGTACTTCGACTTTAAAGAATGCTCCTGAGTTAGTCGATTTGCTTTTTGGGGATGTGGGGAGTCCTGTCATACGTTTGTGTCTCTCCAGATACCCCTACCCGCATCATTGACCACTGATCTTTCCAGTCGTCAGAATATGTTCCCGCCCCTTCCCCCTCGTTCTCTTCCAGTTGAAAGACTTGGTAAACATTCGATATCACGGCCTTTAGGACAAGCCTCTGTGAGCTCCATAGAAGACCCAAGAATACTGTCTTGTTCTTGTCATTGGACGTAATGTATCGGTTCCTCCTGGCAGTTACTGTTAGTTACTCTGGACATCCAAACTATTGACAACATACACTTGAGAAACTAAAACTCCAGGGCTGCTGAACTCAGTAATGTGACACTCAGTAATGTGACACTCAGTAATGTGGTACTCAGTAATGTGACACTCAGTAATGTGACACTCAGTAATGTGACACTCAGTAATATGACACTCAGTAATGTGGCACTCAGTAATGTGACACTCAGTAATGTGACACTCAGTAATGTGACACTCAGTAGTGTGACACTCAGTAATGTGACACTCACTAATGTGACACTCAGAAATGTGACACTCAGTAATGTGACACTCAGTAATGTGGCACTCAGTAATGTGACACTCAGTAATGTGACACTCAGTAATGTGACACTCAGTAATGTGACACTCAGTAATGTGACACTCAGTAATGTGGCACTCAGTAATGTGACGCTCAGTAATGTGACGCTCAGTAATGTGACGCTCACTAATGTGACACTCACTAATCTGGCACTCAGTAATGTGGCACTCAGTAATGTGACACTCAGCAATGTGACACTCAGCAATGTGACACTCAGTAATGTGACACTCAGTAATGACACTCTCACTAATGTGACACTCAATAATGTGACACTCAGTAATGTGATACTGAGTAGTATATCTGTTGTTTTACTGTTCATGTCACAGAGAGGAGTTAGATATAGTTTCCTCTCTTTTCTAATTGCATTGCTTGTGTGTTTTTCAAATTGTGTTTGTGTAGTCTATTTTACTCCCACAATCCATATCTTTCTTGGGCTGCTTCTGGCCCTGTAGCCTGCTTTTCCTATGTTCTTTAGCTGATGGCTGATTTTGTTCAGTTCGGAGCAGCTGATCAAATCATTTGATTCTGTGATGTTCTAGGAATTCATTCCCCGGTGTCCACTGTTGTTCTTATGGTTTATGTTGGTGATCGCCTCTTCTGGTTGCATTTGTTTCCCCGCGGCATTTCTGATACATCTCATCTCACAATTTGTTTGTTATTGCTTGTTTATTGTTGTCTAGGACTAACAACCTCATGTTTGGAATTATCAATAGTAACCTTACATTGATTAGTATATGATGGAGTGGTCATTGCATTTCTCAATCAGTCTGTGGTCGACCGTCTGCCGCCTGCTTCGTTAGTCCTGAGTTTCTCACAAAATTAAACTTTACATTCTGTACAATATGCTCGGCTATGTCTGTGTATGAAGGAAGCTGTGTAATGATCGATATGTGGTTGTAATCAGACAACACACACCTCACAGCCACCCGAGGTCAGAGGCAATATCTGTGATCCCACACGGGATTTTATCTGGGGCCTGTGATCTAACTGAATCAACGCCGCTTAATTGTTTCTGTTGTGAAAGTCACAAGTTCGTTTGTTGACTTCTCAGCAGATTTGGCTTAAGTCTTCTAGTTTAAAATTAGTGACAGAATGGAACTTCACCTCCGTGATTTCATCTGAGAACATTGAACAAATCTATACACACAACGAATAGATATAACCTCCGGGCCACAGGCGTCGGACTACGGTTGGTCTGCACTATTCCCAGCAGGGATATTGTACACTGTCAGTGTTTGGTCTTGCTAACTGGCATGTCTGCATATACTGGAGATCACAGTTTATTAGTCGGCAAACGTGTACTTCTGCGGGGCCACTGTGGGATCTGAAATTGCACCTTTCGGAAGGTAAGTTATTGATTTACTATAGTCATCAAAGTAAATGTAATTTCCGAGTATTTAGGGGAATGTTGTGAGATGTATTGAAAATGGAAATAATACAGGCAATCAGGAATAGACAAAGACAAGAGTTTGATTTTTCACCGGGTCTCGACTCTGTGTACCGAAAAAATAATGTGGTGAATCAAAGTGAGACCAGAGATGCTAGCTCTAGCTTACTCTATGAACTGTACTGTTTACTGGATATGTTTTTAAAAGGAGTAGAAAATTATAGGGAAGAGAAACAGTTGGTACGAAACAACAAATAGTTTATGTTAGCTTTACAAAATCGATCACAATAAACAAACAAAGGACGTTGCGGCGATTAGCCTTCATCAGCACAAGATCTGCCACTGAAATGTTTAGACATGGAACTGCATTTTCAGTGAATATGTGAAGTAAACATATACAACCATTTAAACACAACCCTAAATTTAACCCCAAACCCTAATGCTAACCGTAACCTAACCGGCGCTAAATATAGCTACCCTAAATGTATCTACCAGGTTTGTTTGAGGCGAATTAAAACTAAAGGGCTAAAGTTAGTTCCGTATCTTTCAAGGATGTTGCAGAGCAAGCGTTAGTATTGTTTTGCTGTTTTATTACGTTACCAAGCAGTTTTACACAAAGTGGTTTGCCATCGCTCTCTAAACTGTCGTTCTGTACCATTGTTTAAAGCATTGGTGGACAACCTTTTGTGGTCTGCGGGCCAAATGTAGTTACCGTCGCGGGTCATTTGGAAAAAACAAAATCCATTACAAACATAACAGCCAGAGTTCCTCGCAGCTCGATATTTTTGTGGGATAATCAAAGATTATAACCACTATTAGGCCTGTGCAAGACATACTCACTCACTGAAGCACTTCTGGATATTCCTAAATGTGTCTCTTCAAGCTGGATATTTGCATAAATTATATTTCAGCTCAAGGACGAAATTTTATAGTAACTTTACATCAGTCTCGCTGGCCAGTGACAGTTGCTCCGCGGGCCAGTAACAGTTGCTCCGCGGGCTAGTTTTGACGCACAAGCTATAGTGTGCCTACGCCTGGTTTAAATCTGCACAAAGCGGTCTGCTGTCTAATCGCCTATAACTGAATCAACCCAGCTATTTGGGCAGTTCCGTGTGGTAGACTTTGTCAGTATGAGAAAAGTCTTCGAAATACCGCCCCTAATTAGCTTCGCACTGCCAGATCAAAAGTTCAGATTGTTTTTGGATTTCGCAACTTATGCCGCGCCTTCCCCTTACGATACCGCCTGATGCGGTCGCATCTCTGTATCGAAGTGCGACAGGGCCCTATACTTGGGAATTGTTAAGCGAGTTCACTAAGCCCCAGACGCCTATTGCAAAGGACTCTTTCCACACTTTAAGTCGTATTGGGCATATAGGACACGGCCTATATTTTATAGACCAATCAGCAGTCGGTGTGTGATTTGGCGAATCACGCCGGCCACCTCTACTTCCTAGGACTTTACCTGGTACCCATGTCATGCTGGGAGCTAAGACTCCTACAGTACTTGATATGGGTACCAGTTCCAGCAGTGTTGATGTCCTGATGCAAAGATAGATTTACGTGAAAGTGTGTGCCTGCCTGCCTGCCTGCCTGCTTGCCTGCCTGCTTGCCTGCCTGCCTGCCTGCTTGCCTGCCTGCTTGCCTGCCTGCCTGCCTTTGTTGGACACTATGTGTGATTGTCTGTAAGTTGCCTAAGAGGTATCTGGAGACATGGAGGCCTGACCTGGTATGTACCCGATTCCTAGAATGCCACCCTACAATGTCAGATGTATTTCGAGGCTGTCCAGATCTTGTGACCACACTCTCAGATGTCGCCAGAAGGTATCCAGAAACCATGAGCTGTAAACCCTTTGGCTCGGTACTATGGATATCGCAACCCTTCGGCCTTGATTCCATTATAGGTACCGTTAATCTGGGATAAATGTGGCTTTTCTGCCTACCCCCGGGAGTGAACCTGGACCACAAGGAGTTCGTCACCCGGCCGCCGCGAAAGTCAGGTTTAACCAACTTCGCTAGAGAGCCGGGCAAGCCAGAAGGTATACACTCTGCTAGCTGTGCTTTCTTTCTTTCTTTCTTTCTTTCTTTCTTTCTTTCTTTCTTTCTTTCTTTCTTTCTTTCTTTCTTTCTTTCTTTCTTTCTTTCTTTCTTTCTTTCTTTCTTTCTTTCTTTCTTTCTTTCTTTCTTTCTTTCTTTCTTTCTTTCTTTTTCTTTCTTTCTTTCTTTCTTTCTTTCTTTTTCTTTCTTTCTTTCTTTCTTTCTTTCTTTCTTTCTTTCTTTCTTTCTTTCTTTCTTTCTTTCTTTCTTTCTTTCTTTCTTTCTTTCTTTCTTTTTTCTTTCTTTTCTTTCTTTCTTTCTTTCTTTCTTTCTTTCTTTCTTTCTTTTCTTTCTTTCTTTTCTTTCTTTCTTTCTTTCTTTCTTTCTTTCTTTCTTTCTTCTTCTTCTTCTTCTTCTTCTTCTTCTTCTTCTTCTTCTTCTTCTTCTTCAGTTTGTAAAACAGTTGCTATCTTGATTTCTCCAGTTATGTGAAAATTGAACCTTCCTCCATCTGCTGCTGTTAGTGCTGTTTCCATATTTAATAGATTTGCAGACGTGACGGAAAACTCCTCTGACCCAAGACGTCTGAAGTGGCTTTTCTGGAGGAGGGAAAAAAAAAAGGTCGCTGTGTCGTTCTCGCCTTGCTTTGACACTTCTGTCATGATTACTTTGCTCATTTGTGCAGTCTCATCAAATGTTTAGCAGAACATGTTCTCAGGGGTGATCTGATCGAGAGTGGTGCGTTTTGTGAAAACCGTTTAGGCCTACAACATCGCTTATTTGTGGGCAGTATCTCTTGGTTGGTCTGGTTGCAGTGAAACGTGGTCCAGCGCTGGCCAGAGTAAAGATTGTGTCTCATGATTTTTGCAAACATGTAAGAACGATTGCAGGCATAGCAAGGAATGGATAGTGCAGAGTAAAGATTGCATGCTCCAGTCAGTGGTCTGTGATCATTCCTTGTCTGACGTCAGAAGTTCTAGAAGACAAACAGAAACACTAATGTGCTGACGCTAATAGATGTCTGCAAACACGTGAAATCTTGTACCAGCGCCTTTGAAGTGGCAATATACCTCCTCCTGGAAGAGATGAAACAAACGTGCGACAAGCCGTTGTGAAACAAGTCGGTCTGTGATGTCTTTCCCCCGCCTGGCTTCTGTCTGTCTAGATAGATGTAATAAGTCGGCGCTGTGGCGGTTTGTGTAAATAGATTTGTTGCGAAAGATGGCCTCACCTGGCAACTTTGGCACTCGTGAACATGGAGAATGCGAGCAGCAGACGTGGGCACCAGAATTATTGGCGCAAAAATGGCTGGTCTCGTTTACGGAACTTCAAGTGCCGCTCAATCCGAATTCAAACCCAGATGTAACGTTTCTAGTGTTCGTCAGCATTATTATATTAGTTGTAATCAACCAACCAGCTGCCGTCTCCGCAGTAAAGGTTGGCTTCAGTGGATCTTCAGCACGCTCTGTCTATATTGTCCTGGTTGTACACTCTCAGACTGCTGTCTGTCCATCTCTTGATATTGTCCTCCCACTTGTATCATTGCTTACCTCTTGCTATCTTGCCTTTGACCTTTCCCTCCAGTATGGTTTTTGAAAGTGTGTTATGTCTTTTAATGTGGCCAAAGGATTTCAGTTATCTCTCTTTTTATATTTCTTTCAGCAATTCTCTTTTCATTTCTAGCCTTTTCAGAACCTTTGTATTGGACTGTTTTTGTTTCCTTGAAATACGACCTATTCTTCTGTATACCCACATCTTCTATGACTCAATTCGATTTTCTGGTTGCTTGTTCATTGTCCAGTTTTCTGCACCATATAGCAGGACCGAGTATACACATAACATTTGACGAATCACATTTTTAGTGTGTTGTTTATCTCTCTAGCTGTCAGTTACTTGCGCATTTTAATGAATTCAGTTTGAGCCATTCATGTTCTCTTTTTGATTTCTGTTTCACTTCTTTCATCATCCGTTACCTACGTGTTCCAGATAGGAAAAACTTGTGTGTTCTCTGTTATGTGTTCTCTGTTATGT